TCACTGGCCTCCCATGTAGTCGACCGCAGTTCGAGTCCCAAACCTGGTGGCTTAAACTCACACCAGGAGCCTGTGCGTGCCCAAGATCCCGAGAGGAGAATAAAGGAGAAGGGATTGTGACGTGGTCATCCCAACTGGTGGGTGATTTCTCGCTGTCTCTCTGTCTCTTTCTTTCTGGTAAGTGCACACGCCCTACAGCAAAAACCTCTCAAAAAAAAAAAAGGAACCAGCAGTTAGCGTAATGGCTATGTTGCTGGACTCCCACGTAGTTGACCGCGGTTTGCATCCCAGACCCAGTGGCTTGAAACTCACGCTGGGCGCGCGTGTGTGTGTGCCCAAGATCCTGAGAGAAGAATGGAGGAGAAGGGATTGCGGCGTGGCCATCCCCTCTGGGGGGTGATTTCTCGCTTTTTGTCTCTCTGTCTGTCTGTCTGGCGAGTGCATGCACCCTATAGTGAAAACCTCTCCAAAAAAAAAAAAAAACCAGGAGTCTAGAAAACTCTTTCTCTTGAAGGTAGCAAACAACATAAAATTGTGTCAACTTTATTTCTTGACATTAGTTAAACTTGGCTATAAGAAATGACTCATAGAACTATAACTATAACCACAGCCAGATTAAACGATTCTTTAAAGAAACAAAAATGTAACTAGGATAAAAGTAAAATCACCTTACACTTTCAGAAAGATTAATTACCAAAGACTAGGTTTTATTTTTTGAAATTGTAACCTACAAATACAATAAAAGTATAACAGAGGGTCACAAGCCAATCCAAAAGTCTGAGAGCAAAATATTGGGTTGTCAGAAAAATCATGGCGCATTCTAACATAGAAAACACACGGGCCGGCAGGTGGTGTGGTGGCTAAAGTACTAGAATCCCACATGGCTGACTGCGGGTCAAGGGCCAGACCTGGCGGCTTGGCTTTCTCACCTCCCCTCCCCCCCTTGTCCCTCTCTGGTCAAATTAAAACAAATAAATATATTTTTTTTTCTTTAAAGCTACTTCTTAAAAAACAAAACAGAATAAATATGTAATGACTTTTCAGACAACCCAAATGTCTTAGAATTTAGATATTTTTCTCCCCAAATTTGGAAATGTTAATTAGCAACACCCAATGGAGCCCAGTTATCAGACATACTCCTATTTCTGCAGTAAAATGTACGAATACTTTTTTAAAAAAATCTCATTTTAGTTAAGATTCAGACCTGTTATTAGAAAGGGGGTTGAACATCAGGTCAGGTTTTGTGACAATTTCAGTTTTCAGAACTTATGGATAAAAGATTGTGAACTTGAACTAAAAAACTAGAAATAAGTTGGGCAAAAGCGATGTTACTTTAGCTTTAAAAAACAGTAGCTCAAGTGAGCAGATGGGGTGGAGGTAAAGGTGGCTAGATTTCTCACACAGCCAACTATGCAGTTCGAATCCCAGAAATGACAGGCTGAAAATCACACTAGGCACGTGTGTGTGTAGGTGCGTGTCCAAAGCCCCGAGAGGAGAATGGAAGAGAGGAGGAGGGACTGCTGTGGCTAGCCCCTCTGGGGGGCGATTTCTTACCTCACTTCTCTCCCTCTCCTGTGGGCACACCTTCCTCTACAGTAAAAACTAAAGGGGGAAAAGGTAGCTCATACAAAACCTAGCTGCCAACTCTTGAAATTCATTCACAAGCTTCAAGAAAGCAGAATTTATATTTCAATTGTTTTCTACAAGAAGGTATACATCCTGTAGTAGAGGATGCAGCTTGAGTCACACATCCAAAGAAAATGAAATATTTTTTTATGACATGAAATAAAATATATGAAATGGGACTAATCAGATGGGATGGGGTTAAGGTGGCTGAACCTCACATGACCAGTTGTGCGTTCAAGTCCCGGATCTGGTGGCTTGAAAAACATGCTGGGCACATGTGTGCGTGTGCCCAAAATTCTAAGAGGAGAATGAAGAAGGGACTACAGAGTGATCATCTCCTCTGAGGGGTGCTTTCTCACACCTTTTCCCTTCCTCTCTTTTCTCTGTCTCTGTCTCAGCAGATTTTTAAAAATAATCATTATAAAAAGATAAATAAAATATATAAAATGCATTAATATTCAAGGTATATTTCTTCCTTCATAGTATTTTCTAGTTTAAAAAAAGAACAATTTTGTCTACTAGCTACCTTGACACCGCATGGTTACTGAGCACTGTTGTGGTTACAACTAGCTTAAGAGGCTATGTGCAGGCTCAGACACTAAGGTAATGAAAATTCAGCCACTATACAAAGAAATTCTCCTTCCTTTCTTCTTTCTACTGCCTTATGGTTTGCAAAAAAAAGAACCTATGTGTGCAAAAAGAATCAAAATGTTTACTATAAAAAAAGTTGTAAGTTTTCTTGAAAACAGCACCCTACAGCAGTAGAGCTTAGCCTGTGGAGTGAAGCAATGAATAGGTATTCTAATTCCAGGTCTACCATTTAGTCACTGCTCTGCTTTGAATGTGCTCCCCCAAAAATCATGTGATAAATTTAGCTGCAATGGGATTAAGAGGGTGAAAACTTAATTTGACTATGGGGTTAAAAGGTGGGGCTTTTGGGGAGTGATTAGATCAAGGCCATCAGGGTAGGGCGCCCCCACAATAGACTACTGGTGGGTTTACTGAGAGAAGGAATGAGAAAGACACATCCACAGATACAGACACACAGGCCCCTGCTCTGTCTCATCATGTGACACCCTGTGTCATATTAACTACCAACAAGAAAACCCTCACCAGATGTGGCCTCTTGACCACAGAAATCCAAGCTAATGGGACCAGTAGTTAGCGTAATGGCTATGTCGCTGGACTCCCACGTAGTTGACCGTGGTTTGCCTGTGGAGTGAAGCAATGAATAGGTATTCTAATTCCAGGTCTACCATTTAGTCACTGCTCTGCTTTGAATGTGCTCCCCCAAAAATCATGTGATAAATTTAGCTGCAATGGGATTAAGAGGGTGAAAACTTAATTTGACTATGGGGTTAAAAGGTGGGGCTTTTGGGGAGTGATTAGATCAAGGCCATCAGGGTAGGGCGCCCCCACAATAGACTACTGGTGGGTTTACTGAGAGAAGGAATGAGAAAGACACATCCACAGATACAGACACACAGGCCCCTGCTCTGTCTCATCATGTGACACCCTGTGTCATATTAACTACCAACAAGAAAACCCTCACCAGATGTGGCCTCTTGACCACAGAAATCCAAGCTAATGGGACCAGTAGTTAGCGTAATGGCTATGTCGCTGGACTCCCACGTAGTTGACCGTGGTTTGAGTCCCAGACCAGGCAGTTTAAACCCACACTGGGCGCATGTGCGTGCGTGCCCAAGATCCTGAGAGGAGAAGGGATTACAGCGTGGCCATCCCCTCTGGGGGTGATTTCTCGCTGTCTGTCTCTCTCTGTCTTTTTGGCGAACGCACGCACCCTATAGCAAGAAAGAAAAAAAAAAAAAGCTTCTCCAAAAAAAGAAAAACAAAACCATGAGCTAAAACCTCTATTATCATAAACCACCCAGTTTCAGGTAGCCAGTTATTAAGCAGCAGAGAATGGACTCAAGTGTCACATTGTGATTTTAAGAAGTTACTGGGTCGTCAGAAAGGTCATGATGCATTTATGCACAGAAAAATATGTCATCATTTTCCCCAATGATCCAGTAGTTAACCTACTGTGTCTCGCTTTTGTCATCTACAAATTGGGGAAATGACAGTATCTATCACATGAGAATTTAAAGCTAAATAAAATTGAGTAAAACGTAAACTTCACGATAGAAGGAAGACTGGATAGAGGAAGCAGGTGATATTAATAACAACTGGCAAAGTTACAATTACTCCCAATTTCTGTGCTCTCAACCACTTTTTAAACCAAGAATGGCTTACGGCAGACTTTCTTTTAACACAAGAAATGCTTACTTTGCATTTTATTAGTTTTTTTAATTCATTCATGAATTTAAAAAGTGAGCATCTCTTTCCTGTTGTAATAACTAGTAACTGTTACCTGAAGTTTTAATGTTCGTAAATTACTAAAACTCTTCAAAGTAAGTTTCTGTGAAAAATTCTACCCAGAGGTCAGAGACTGGCCCAGTTGGAAAGGTGCCCTGGAGAACTCCCTGAGAACACTGGGCATGTGTGTGCGTATGATCTGTGGCTCACTAAAGCTGGGGGTGGTTCATATCATCCAGACCCTGCCTGGGGTGAAGATTTCCTGTCTTTCTTGCTCATGGAACAAAGAAACTCTAAGTAAAAACCCTCTAACCTGTAGTTTGTATGCATGGTTGGCACTCAGTAAGTAAAAGTATTTGATATGTCAAAATATCTCATTCCCTCACCTTCAAGTAGTCCCTCCATCAAACCCCCTGGCACGAAGACAATGCAGCGTTCACTTGCACAATCTCACCGAGTCCCACCTGAGACCTTACCTATCTTCATCTTTGTCATAAAGCTGGTAATAATCTCCACAGCCATTCCAAAAGGTGTTTTCTACGACTTCTCGCCTTCCAGCTGTGGCTCCGCTCTCCGGTGCTATCTGGTGGTTTTCTGTTTCTATCTGTGTGAGTCTTGAGAAAGGTGGGTCCAAGAACATACAGTCATGTTCTCCATCGTACTCTTCGCACTTTATCAAGAGGTCATCTGAGCTACTTTCCTCAACTTCCAGAGCCTCCCTCCATCTCTGAACACTTCTTTGTTTGGCCTCATGCCTAGTAAAACCCGATTCTTGGTCCACCTGGCTTGAACTTATTAGTTTTCTAACTTTTGGCCTCACTACCTGTTCAGGAGAATTTCCACAGTGATTGTCCCTACCACTGATGTTCTGCTCACTGCATACATGCCCCAGGACACAGGCTGCACCGCCAGTGGAATGATCTGTCTGTCGTTCCTGGCTACTAGTATTTTGTTTCTTTCTAACGACGTCATCTTCAGATGAGGATCTCTGAAATTCCTGGCCATTCTGATGAAGAAACTCAGTGTCACAGGCAGAATTTTTCACTAAAGGCGCAGATTCTAATTCTTTAAGCTCCTCTCTTACTTCACAGTTAAGAGAGGAAACTGGTGCTGGATGACCAGCGTATGCCTCTGCCTCTCCATTTTCCAACTCAAAGACCATATTGCCTAATGATTCCTGATATCTACCATCTTCCACAGCTTCTGCAGAAAGTTGAAGACAGTCATTATCCTCTCTACACTTGCCATCTGGAGCATGAGAGTCAGTATGAATCAATGCAATCCCATTTTGGACACTCAGGACACTACCAGCTCCTGGAGTACACTCTCCCTCGGAGGGATTATGAAGCTCTGGACTGCTTCCTGAAGTCCCCCTGCTTTCCTCACTCCGGCACACTGCCACAGAGCATGGGCTGCTCTCAGTGCTGGGCTTCAGAACTGTACCACAGGTGGCAACTTCTGTTTCACTTTTTTCAGACAGAGGTTCATTTGCTAAAGAATGTACTTGATCCAATTGACTGGAACCTTCACAGAGAAGAAAATAAAACATATTTGGAGAGGTTCGCTTAGAGAAAATTTTATTTCATAACTAACATTTAAGTGGAAATCCTATGAATTTCTTTGGCAAGTGTGCCCCACCTTAACTGGGAGCACAGACTGGCTACTCGATGAGTGTATTTTTGCCACTGTGTAGCCTCTTAACACCCTTTCCCTCACATGTCTTTAGAAGACAGTTTTTCACCTAAATTCTAATACCTTTAACCCTCTCTAAGACATAAAAGGAAGAGTATATAAGAGTGGGAAGCACAGCGGAGTCACACAGTAACCGATCTACCCTCCTAGTGATCTCCAAACACATCTTTATTATTCATTGCAGATAGGATGAGCAAAAACGCCATTTTACCTGTTATAGACACAACACGCTACATGTCTAAGGCAAGTAAGATTCTTCTGCATTATGTCAATTCAGATTACATTTTAGTCTCTAGACATAGAACACTACATTTCTTTTTCAAAAAAGAGATTGTTATAATACATTTATAATGTGTGAACTTCAGCTGTGGTATACCTATGACTAAAAAACAATGTAAAGGTCAATATGTTGATTCTCTTGGCTAGTTTGTCAGAATTCTAAAGTGTGAGTAAAATCATATTTATTCTATAAATTATTTTAAGTCTGACCATCTTTCTTCACCTCTAATAAAAAATGAAGACATCTGAAATTTGCTGAAACAAAAATGTATAAAACAAGTGAAGTTCCGACTTGTCACAATGCAAAAAGCCTCTTTAAAAGAACAACCTAGCTAGCAATTCAGATTCTTACATATAAATGAATAAAAATAATCTGGAATTATCACATTTACTCAGGACAAGAAGACAAATTCAGAACAAAAATGTACAATATAGAACATGGATATCTGCAAAATATTGGTTTGTCAGCAAAGTCACGACTTATTTGCATAGAAAAATACAAAATGACCTTCCCGACAACCTAATACTTTTTTCAAATCACTAATTAAAAAAATTTTAATTGGGGATGAGCAGTTGGTGTAATGGCTGTATCGCTGAACTCCCATGTAGTCAACAGCGGTTCAAGTCCCGGAACCCGTGGCTTAAACTCACGCCAGCATGTGTGCCTGTGTGCCCAAGATCCTGAGAGGGGAATGGAAGAGAAGGGATTGTGGCATGGCCATCCCCCCACCACGGGGTGATTACTTCTTGCTTTCTGTGTTTCTCTGTCTTTCGGGCCAGCACATGCACCCAATAGCAAAAACCTCTCAAAAAACAAAAAGAAATTTTAATTGAATAACTAACATGACATTTTCATTGTGTAAAATAATCAAAAAATAAACCAGCCAAGCTAAATTATTTGGAGATAAAAGTGAAAAAAGAAAAGTCATGTAAATGTAGTATGTAGGGGAAATTCTGTTCATGTCAAAACTATTTTTTGTTGTTGGTTAAAAGACAATGTCCTCTGGCTGAAGGATGGAATGATGTAATCCCTGCCATGACAGTATAGTTACATTTTAATGACTGGCCATATACTCTTCTTCTATGTTTACATGTATATACTATTAACATTAAAATCAATAAAAAGACTAACTCCTATGTAACTATTAATGACCTTTAAATAATTACACAGTACATACCTGATGAATTTTCCTTTGAAACATCATCTAGCTCCAACACTTCATAGTCATCACCAGCCCGACCTAAGCTTCTTTCATGCCTGGTCATACAAGGTTTAAAACTGACATATGCATGTCTTCTTCCATATCTCCTGCCTGTAATTGTCTGATATCCTCCTGCTGGTTTGGGCCAGGCAGCCTTGCTGGATTCTTGATCCATTGCTGAAAAAAAAAAAAGAGTTCAAAAATAATAATAAAAAAACCGCACCAGGGCCAGCAGGTGGCTTAGTGGTTAAGATGCTGGTTTCCCATGTGGTTGACTGTGGTTCAAATCCTGGACTTGGCAGCTTGAAATTCACACCATGTGCACGTGTGCCCAAAGCCCCAAGAGGATAATGAAGAAGGGTTTGTGGCGTGGCTATTCCCCAAGGCAGGCGATTTCTCACTTTCTGTCTGTCTCTCTGAAGAACACACGTGCCCTACAGCAAAAAAAAAAAAGCAAAAAAACCCCAAAAAAACAAAACAAAAAAAACTCTCAAAATAAATAAATAAAAGAAAATCAATGACCTTTATTTGGCAATCAGTTTGGAAAATTGCTTCAACATATTTACTATCATATACCAATTCACATGCTACTGAGCATCAAGCACACCCCGTTAGTATTCTTCACACGCTGGAAAATTTAACAGGAAATATTACGTTTTTGTTTTCTTCATTGCCGGAGTGAACATATGCTGGCCAGCGAGAGCACGCACCCCTAATTCCCAAGGGGGAGTGGCAGGGATATGCTCTAATTGTTTTTCCTTCATTTTTCCATCCCATCAGGATCTGGGGCATGCACACGCACCCAATGTATTTTTCAAGCTACCAGAGCGAGATGCTCAGCATGGGATCTGCCCCCTTGTTTACTGTGCCTAACCACTGTGCTAAGGGGTCTTACTGGAAAATATTATGTAATAAGTTAGTGGCCTCTCTCCCAGAAAATAATAGGTTTTGGGAAAGGTATGATGTATTATTCTATGTTTTTCTATGCAAGAATGTGTCTTGACTTTCCTAATGACCCAGTACCTTCTAAAATGTGACATCTTTATGGTAGTTCAGATTTTTACAATGAGACCTATCAGAGAGGATTTCTCCTATGCTACATTATTATACTGCCAAAGCTCTACAAATTGGAGAGACATCTCCCAAATTACCTAAGTACCATGCATGTAAATGTTCAATACATACTGACGAGTCAATTACCAGCACATGGTAAGATAGTGTCCATTACCATAGGAGTAAATAATATGTTCCTGTCACAGGTAACGGGTAACTTTTATATGGAATCTGTACTTCTGTAAAGAATTAACTAGAACACAATAAAATGTGCAACTAAAGGACAATAAAATGTCCCAAAGGCCAGAGTCAGATAAAATTCTCCAAAAGATAACAATGATGCGTAAAATCAAACACATGCTGCCCCACTTTTCAAAAATGCCACTGAATGGGGGACCAGCAGTTAGCGTAATGGTTATGTCTCTGGACTCCCATGTAGTCGACTGCGGTTCGAGTCCTCGACCCCGTGGCTTAAACTCACGCCGGGCGTGTGTGCGTGCATGCCCAAGATCCTGAGAGGAGAATGGAGGAGAAGGGACTGTGGCGGGGCCATCCCCCCTAGGGGGGTGATTTCTCGCTTTCTATTTCTCTGTCTTTCTGGTGAGCGCATGTGCCCTATAGCAAAAAAAACCCCTTAAAAAAAAAAAAAAAAAAGAAGCCACTGAATGGTATATATTATAGTGGAAAAAGCCAGCAACATTTAAACTACCTGAGTATTCAGTTTTGATGACTGAGGAATATATAATAATAACCAAACGAATCTTTTACTGAGTAGTACATGACACACACACACACACACACATATACAAAGTGTAACTTTGTTCAACTATTGGGTGGTCGGAAAAGTCATGATGCGTTCCTCTATGCAAAAACGCATCATGACTTTTCTTATGACCAAGTATGTATTACATACAATATATTACGCACGATAAACTTAATACATACAATATAGGAAACGAAGGCATCCCTGTCACCTTGTGGTTAAGGGAGCCAGATCCCACATGACCAACTGCAGTCTGAATCTTGGCCTTAGTGACTTGAAAAACCTAACGGGATTACAAAATGGAGAAGGAACTGCAGCACTGACCACACTGTGAGGGGTGGGGTGCTTTCTCCCTCTGTCTCATATCCGTGCCCTCTGGCAATTAAGAAAAAAAAAAAACACAACAATATGCATGAGCAAAACAAAATATTTTCTTAGAGTACACGGTATAGTCAGTACCTAGATTAGTTACATATTCTTGTTCTATTGCATTAAAATAAAAAATGTAATCATTTCTAAGCAGGAAATAGAAGTAAATGTATTTATAATATGTAATACTGTTATGTGTGTGCATGCGTGCCCAAGATCCCAAGAGGAGAATGGAGGAGTAGGGATTGCTGTGTGGCCATCCCCCCAGGAGGTGAGTTCTCGCTTGCTGTCTGTCTTTCTGGTGAGTGCACGCACCCTATAGCAAAAAACCTCTCAAAAGAAAAAAAAAATCAAAATTAAGGACAAAAATTAAGTGTGTGAGTAACCTGTCCAAATATGCAGTAGTATGACTCCAAATATGCAATGCCTTTCAAAGCTCCTTTAGAATTGAGTTTCCAAACTGAAAAGCACAACAGAAGCCAAGAGGGTATAAAAAAGAAAGAATTTTTATTTACACTTAACTTGCATATCAAATTTACACTTAACCTGCATATCAAAAATTAGAAATTAAGCTTTAGAAATATTCTATATATGGACCCAAACCAACCTTTATAAAACCAATGTATCAGATGATCACATGCCAGATATGGCACGTAAGACAGGAGGAAAAAAACAAGACTTAAACGTGTGAGAACTGACAGCTTCCTTACCTGCCGGCTCTTTTTCAGCGTACTGTGACATGAATGGAGGCTTCCCTTGCCCAGATCAGTGGAATTACGGATGGGATTTAATTTTTACTCACACGATGGATAAGCTGCAGAAAATTCCTACAAAGAAACAATGAACTGAATAAAATAATAATGATAAAAACAAAAAGCAAAAATGGCAAAACTGATACTTCTTCTCCTATTGAAACTTCGTTAGTTGTATAACAACATAGAAGAGTATAACCTGTCCTGGCAAGTCAAACAAAAAAAAACCCTTGAAACTATCAAGACGGTTATCTGAAATACAAATGTACATTGGCTCTTGATAAACCTTGCCCTAAGCATATATCCTGGAAAAAGGTTAATGCTAACAACACATGTATAATTTAAAAGTAAATAAGCAAATGTACTGGGTGCTGACTGGGGTTTGAGCCCACGCGACCTGAGAGTCTTCTGTACGGTGCTATCTTTGCTTCTCCATTGAGCTCTACAGCTTTTCTAGCCCTGGTATTTTTAAAAGACATAGTAAGAATACAAACTTTAGAGCCAACCAATGGCTTAGTGGTTAACAAGGCTGGATCGCACATGGTTGACCGTGTTGTTCGAGTCCTAGACCTGGCACCTTGAAAAACATGCCAGGCATGTTTGTCTGTGCCCAAAATCCCAAAAAGAGAAATGAAGGATGGGAAGGGATTGTGGCATGGCCATTCGCCATGGGTGGTGCTTTCTTACTGTCTTGCTGTCTGGTCTCTCTCCAATGAGCACACATGCTCTCTAGTAAATTAAAAAAAGAAAAATACAAACTTATTTTAAAAGTATATAAAGGTATATTACAATAGCTAATGTGTATAATTATGTACCTATTCTTCACGATTATTCAGTTGATCAGACAATTTAATCTGAAATAAGAACCTATTCAAAATCAGAAAAAAATATAACTTGCCATGGAACAAATAGAAAAAGACCTGTTTTGAAATTAATCCTTTTATTTAGGAAGTTATAACCTATGATTTTTCTGCAATTTGGTAAAAGCTTGGGTTTTTTATTTAAGCATCTTATTTAAATGCTTGGGCTACTGCCAAGTGCCTATGACTAATGCAAGTTTATTAGAAAATGGTAACTTTGTTGAGGCTGGCAGGAACCGTGATTAAGGGCACTGGACTCCCACATGGTTGACTGCAGTTCGAGTCCCAGTCCTGGTGACTTGCTTTTTTGCTTTCTCACTCTCTCTGTCCCTCTCTGGTCAAATAAGTACATAAATAAAGTTAAATAAAATAATTATTTTAAAAAAAGAAAATGGTAACTTTGTAAATGAGTTTGACTGCTTATGTTATGAACACTTGTGATTAACATACATAAGAGTACATACCCACATTCACTAGTATAAAATATAAATTCAGCAACAGATTATGATCCTCTAGTGCATGAATCAAGTTAGACTGTCTACAATAGCTATAAAGAAAATGAGTATCAAAAAATGATCTCATCATACTGGCAAAAATACAGGACATAATAAACATTGCTTTTTTTAAAAAAAGTGATTAACTTTTAAAATTATTTATTTTGGGACCAGCAGTTAGCGTAATGGCTATGTCGCTGGACTCCCACGTAGTCGATCGTGGTTCGCGTCCCGGACCCAGTGGCTTAAAACTCACGCCGGGTGTGTGTGCGTGTGTGCCCAAGATCCCGAGAGGAGACTGGAGGAGAAGGGATTGCGGTGTGGCCATCCCCCCCACCCCGGGGGGTGATTTCTCGCTTTCTGTCTCTCTGTCTCTGTCTGGCGAGCGCACGTGCCCTATAGCAAAAACCTCTCAAAAAATTATTTATTTTATATTATTACTATTTTTAAGTTTTTATTATAGGGCATATATGCTCACCAGAAACAGAGAGAGAGAGAGAGGACAGCAAGAAAACAAGCCACCAAGTCTGTGACTTATACTGTGGTTGGTCATGTGGGAGACCAGGGCCTCAACTATCAAGCCACCTAGGGGTCCTTAACACTGTTCTTTAAGCAACACAATTTGAAGTAACTTGAATCTGCACAGAACACAGTACTCATGAATTTAAATTCATACAAACTCATACAATGAATACTTGACTCCAAGTCTTTTCTTCGGGAGAAGGCCTTATTTAACCATGTTCCAAGCACTATTTTCAGAGCTGGGGATACAACAGTTTATGAAATGGATATATATTTTGGGCCTCCTAAAACTATATGATCGCAAAGTAGTAAGTAATAAATACATAAGATGTTAGATAATACATCCTGTGGAGTAAACTAAAACAAAGAATGAAGACTTATCGAGGGTGTACAATTTGAAATAGGGTGGTTCAGATGCCCTGTTGAGAGGGTAATGCGAGCAGACACCTGAGGTTAAGTAAGGGAGGGACACGTGAATATATCTAAGGAAAGAGCATTGCGGGCACAATAAACAGAAGATCCTGAAGTGAGAACCTTTAAGTAACAGCAAGAAGTCTGAGACAAAATGAGCAAGAAAGCAATAAAGTTAGAAAATATTGGGTCATTGGAAAAGTCACAATGCATTTTTCCATAGAAAAATATGTCATGACTTATGTGACAACCAGAGGGAAAGGATAAGGCAGAGTAAATTACACAGTCCTTTATAGGCTAATGCAAGCAATGTTTTATTCTGAGATGGAAACCCACTGATGATCCCGAGAAGAAACATTGCCTGGCTTCTGTTTTAACAGGAACATTCTACTTACTACATTAAGTAGCCTAAGAGGAACAAGGTCAAAACAAGAGACAGCGACCAGCAAATGGCATAATGACTATGTTGCTGGACTCCCATGTAGTCGACCACATTTTGAGTCCTGGATCCGGTGGCTTAAACTCACGCCAGAAGCCTGTGCGTGCGTGCCCAAAATCCCAAGAGGAGAATGAAGGAGAAGAGATTGTGGTGGGGATGATTTCTCACTTTCTGTCTCTCTCTCTCTGTCTCTCTGGCGAGCACATGTGCCCTATAGCAAAAACCTCTGGGGGGTAAGGACACGGAAAGAAACAAGAGACGGGTTACAAAGCTATCAAATAATACTGGCAAGAGATCACAGTGGTTTAGAGAAGGGTAAAAATAGAGGTGGTGAGAAATGGTTAGATTCTGGACATACTGTAAAAATAGAGCAAACAAAATTCACTGATACAGGATATAAGAGAAGGTAAGCTGTTGAGATTGACTCCAAGTTTTACAGCCTGGACAAATGGAAAAAGGAATTGCCATTAACCATGTAGAAAATTTGAGAAAGATCTGAAGAAAACACTTTGAGTTCAGTTTTGGTTGTGTTAAATTTTAATTATCTGTTAAACATTCAAGTAAATGTGAAATAGGAGTGTGGAGTTAACTGGAGAATTCTGAGCTGTTGGTATAATATGGGAATTGTCAGTGTACACATACTAATCAAAAAGACCTACTTGCAAGATCTCTTAAGCACACACAGAAAAGTAAAAATGCTCAAGGATTGAGCCCTGAGACAATCCAACATTAAGAAGTCAGGGAAAAGGAAATAGAAAAAAAAAAACAAAAAACAAAAAACAAAACAGCAGAGATGAGTGAGAGAACAGAAAACTCCAGGAGTGGATGCCAAGTGAAGAAAGAGTTTGACTAAAAGAGCTGATCCGCTGTGCCAAAAGGTAAAGGATGATGAGGACTTCCAACTGATCAATGGCTTAGCAACTTGGATGGCATGCAGATCTTGATAAAAGGCATCTCTGAAGGGACAGTGGCTGCAACGCAACAGCCTGACTGAAAAGCTGTTAAGAGAGTGAGGTGGGGGCCAGTTGTGGAGACCAGTTGGTAGTGTGGTGGTTAAGGTGTTGGTTCCATATGGCCAGCTGCGCAGTTTGAGTTCTGGTTCTGGAAGCTTGAAAACCATATGAGGCACTTGTGCCAAATGTCCTGAGAAGAAAGGGACTGTGGTGTGGTCATCCACCCGTGGGGTGTTTTCTCACATTCTCCCCAGCAAGCACATATGGCCTACAGCAAACTTTAAAAAATTATTAAAAAGGGGGGGGAGTACAGAAGTCATGGAAATTACCCTGTTTCTTACATTTCTTTAATAAGACTCTTCTTTCTTTCAAAAGATACTCTTCTTGAAGCCCTCCAACATCTTGATCTGAATCCATCCTGCTTGTTTTCAAGACATATAACTCAGCTACTTCTGTGCTATCTTTTAAGTCTACTACTGAATTAAAGTCCACTGGCTTGAATTTCAGGGTTTCCTCACTTTTCTTCCCCCCTTTACTACTAGATCCTCAAATAACTATTTCAGGAAATAAATATAGAAGGTCAATTTTTAGTCCTTTCAAATACAAAATTATTTTCATTTTTCCCCTATACTTTGGTACATATCAAGACAAAGTCATTTTTCTCTAAATTCTGAAAAGCACTGTTTACTAACATTTCTTGTTACTGTTAATAAAGTACTCTGTTGGGACCAGCAGATGGTTCAATGATTACATCACTGGACTCCCATGTAGTTCATCGCGGTTCTAGTTCCAGACCTGGAGGCTTAAAACTCACACCAGGCACCGTGTGTGTGTGTGTGTGTGTGTGTCTCTCTCTCTCTCTCTCTCTCTCTCTCTCTCTCTCTCTCTCTCTCTCTCTCTCTCTCTCTCTCTCTCTCTCTCTCTCTCCAAGAACTGAAGAGGAGAATGGAGAAGGGACTGTGGCATGTTAATCCGTCATGGGTGGTGATTTCTTGCTTTCTGTCTCTCTGGTGAGCGCACATTCACTATAACAAAAATCTCTCTCTTTAAAAATAAGAAAGAGGGGCTGGCAGGTGGCAAGGTGGTTAAGGCGGCTGGAATTCCACATGGCTGACATGGTTTGAATCCTGGACCTAGCAGCTTGCTCTCTCACTTTCCCTCTCTCTCTGGTCAACTTTAAAACAATAAAATAAAATAAGGACAATGAATAAATTTAAACAATTCTTTAAAAAAAGAAAAGAAGTACTGTATCAGTTTTTTTCTTTGTCCTTCTTTTGTAGGAAAAAACAAGTATTTCTCTCTGGAATATTTAAGACCTTGTCCGAAACACTGGTATTTTGCAATTTCATAAAAATTCATTTAGGGACAGACAATATATTAATTCTCCTACACAAAG